GAGAAAATATATTTAATTTTTTTTGTTGATTGTCCGTGTCTTGTCATACAAACACCCACCATAGACGATAAAAAATGAGAGAAAATGTTAGGCTGTTACGTAGAATATACCCGGTAACTTCGAATTCGTTATTACAATAAATATTATACCTTGAAGTGAGCTTTTTTAATAAAGACAAAATTTTCTGCACATCGCTTGATTATCTATTCTGCTGCTAATAAAGCATTTTATAACACATAGTTTATATACGATATGATTGCTAGCAAATTCAATAATTTTATTTGCATACACATGCTAAGAGGGAAAAGTCGGCTTAGATTCAATTTTGTTTGGAAAGTTGTAGGGAGTTATTTGTCGAACATAGAGGAGCTGGTGGTGATATATAAAGAAAATAAACAGCTATTGAATCTGCTTAGTTCTGTTGAAACGCAAACAGCATAACATCTAAAAAGATTATAATGGATAAGATGTGTGAGATGGTCAGAAAAGCACTGAAACTGATTAAAAGGGAGTTTAATATTTTTTAATCACTTTTTCTTTACTAATCTCCTGTAAATTGCTTGTGTCTCGGGACGAACAGAATGTTCTTAGGATCAGTACAGCTGGGTTACGATAAAAAAGTGACACGCGCAATTATTCCTTTTCATAGAATGAAAATACGCATTTGATATTTTGTAATCTGACTTACTCCCAATTTTCAAAAAACATATTTCAACCTTCCTTGTTAAAGCATCTGTGATTGTAAGTGTGATTCATGAACTATAAAGCTGAAATTAGTTACATATTAAAAATCGTTCTTTGCCTTCTTACCTTAACGACGATCATTTAGTTTGAAACTTGTAACTGCATTTTTGAACAGTTTATTAACCTTTGTATTTTTGATTCGAATCGAATTTTGTATAAAAAATTTTGTTGATAGTATTTCAGCCACATACATGCACACTTCGCGACCGCCCATGCTCTGTTACAAACAGTGTTATCGTACTACAGGGGTAAGTTCATCACGTCGCTTTGCTCTAAAGCAAAGAGCCATTGCACGTAGACGATGACCGATTCAGACTTTTCTGAATGAAAAAATTATCGAGAACAGTTGAAGAGCAACTATTTTTATACATTCTGGTCTTAACTGCACGTTAGAAAGTTTAAATGTAGCTGAGATATTCAAATTTTACGAGAAGCCCTAAAGAAACTGAACGTTGAAGGTAGAAAACCGTCATCGATCGATAATTTTGAATTTGAGGTGTTTCTGGTAGCGAAGTTTCAATCAAATTGAATCAAGTTTCCTTAATAATTTTAACTTTTTTTCTGTCAGAAACGTGTCAGGAGGTTACTAAAAACTTATACTATCAAAAAGGTTTTATTGAGACCAATAAGCCTTTAAAAAACTATAAAGCGTTCGTGACAGATGCAAAATGATGATGAATGTTATCTTTAAAGTTGAAAAAAGTTGCATTTCTATGAAGAAAAACGACTTTTACTGAGACAGTATCCTCTCATCTCTCATCGGTTATATCTTGTTATTTATTGTGAAGAAATCATTATTTCTCGCATGCTTTTGCTATTGTGAAGCGAGGAAAAGCAAAGCAGAATTTCACAGGAGAAAAAAGTCAAAGGTATTAAGGAAACTTTTTCTAGTTCAACCACCCCCGTCTTTTCTTTTAGATTGATATTCTTTGACCTTTATTAATAAAACTAAGTCTACTTTAATATAATTGAAACACATTTTGGTACAATCATTTTATATAAATGTTTTTCAATTATATTAAAGTAGACTTAGTTCTTTCTTTTGTTCAAAACCTATCAGATGATCTAACTTTGACTAAAATCAGAGGTATGCCAACTGTTTTTATTTTTGGATTGTCAGGAAGTCAAAAAAGTTGAAGCGTCTAGTAAGACTCCTGCCATATAAAAAAGAAAAATCTGTGAAAAACTTGGGGTACTATCACTTTCGATTTCTTAGATTTTCGTAAAAGTTGAATATCCTAGCCAAAGTTAAACTTTTTCAACTACATTCGTTCCCAGAATTTATCAAAATATTCATAGTGTATAGTCATAGGATATATGCAATGGCTCTAAAGCATACGTTTTTTTGAAAGGTGGGGTAATGTGTTAAGCGTTGATTTTACTAATTTATTATTGCTGATCTGTTCTATTTTTTCTTCTAGTCATGGGACCATATGATAGTTGTACAGCTGTAACGTTAGAATCCGTTATTAAAGCTCGTCCAACTTATACACGCGATGAAATCGCAAAAAAAATAGCCAATGGTGACCTTCTTGTTATTTATGTATCTAAAATTTATCGTCTAAATAATTGGATTAAACATCATCCCGGTGGTCAAATGCCAATTTTGCATATGGTTGGTAAAGATGCGACAGATGAAATAAATGCTTACCATAGTGCTGAAACAATAAAAAAAAAGATGCCATTATTCTATTATGGTGATGTTGCCAAAGAAGATGAACAATTTCAAGCATTATTGGCGCCCGTTCATTTACCAAAAAATGAATTGGCCACAATTGAATCATTAAAACCAAAGCCACAGTCATCTATTATTCCACATGAACAACAACAAATTATTGATGCTTATAGGCGATTAGACGTAAAATTAAGATTTTTAGGTGAGTAAAACTTTCATATTTAGATAAAACATGGAATCAGTTATCTCTTAATTTTAGGACTTCACCAATGTAATTATTATGATTATGGTCGAGAATGTATTCGGTATTTTCTGTTAGCATTAGCCTCATTTTTATTATTATATCTTGGCACTCGTTCTTGGCACTATTATTTATCAGCGGTGTTTCTCGGTGCATTCTGGCATCAACTGGCATTTACCGCTCACGATGCTGGTCATTTGGGTATTACACATAATTATAACATTGACTCTGCTATTGGTATGTTTATAGCTAATTTTCTTGGTGGAATCTCAATTGGTTGGTGGAAATATCATCATAACATTCATCATCTTGTCACAAATCATCCGGAACACGATCCTGATATTCAACTTTTACCATTTTTTGCTGTTAGTCGGCGATTTTTATCATCTCTTTATTCAACGTATCACAAACGTGTAATGAAGTATGATGTAATATCATCGTACGTTATTCAAATTCAACATTTTACCTATTATTTAATTATGTGTTTTGCACGATTTAATTTACTAATACAATCATATATCTACTTTTACAAGAATCCACGTACACCATTTCGAAAATATGAAATATTCTGTTTATGTCTCTACTATTGTTGGTATGGATATCTATTATCAACATTACCAACGATGAAAATTCGTCTCATTTATCTTCTAATTAGTCATGTTGTTACGGGTATGTACGATGACAAAAATCGACTTGAATCTTGTACTATAAGTATCATACCAGGAAATGACAAAATTTCTTTCTTAAGCCCTTAGATAAGCGTTTGCGAACCACTTTTGAACTTTATGATCTAAATATTCAAAAGAAAAAAATGTTGAATGAAAAATAAAATCTAAAAATTTCATGAACATATCTCTTAATTGAATGTTTTATTGTTTATAGCCCCATTACATGTTCAAATTACTCTCTCTCATTTTGGTATGTCTACTGAAGACTATGGACCACAAGAATCCTTCCCATCAAAAATGTTACGTACAACAATGGATGTTGCTTGTCCAACATGGATGGATTTTTTCCATGGTGGTCTCCAATTTCAAGCAATTCACCATCTGTTTCCACGTATGCCTCGTCACCAATTACGTCGTGCTATTCCATATGTTCAAGAATTTTGTGATGAAGTTGGATTAAAGTATCATGTATATGGATTTGTGGAAGGTAATGGTAAAGTGTTGAGTGTATTAAAAGATGTGGCAATGCATGTGAAATTAATGAAAAAAGTAGCAGAAGCACACACCGAAGAAAAAATTCATTAGGAAATGTTTTTGTTTACACTATCTATTTTAAAATAATCAAATAACCTTGGTTACTTTTTAATTAATTTTTTGATAAAAAATTGTTAGTTAAAACTTCAACATAATTATAAAAAAATATGAGCCGATGACTCTTTTCACAATGAGATCTTAAA